CACACTTTACGAACTTTTGCTGACAAAAATATATTAAATGGAACTACCAGACGTAACGTCCGCAAGGTCAGAACATATCGAGCCCTAACCGCCAATATAACGTAAGCGATATTTTTTTCAAAATTTTCTGTTTGATGCAGAAATGCATGTAGATGCTCTAGGAATATTAAACAAATTTGGTATCAAACGAAAGTTACTCCTAACTTATCTAATTTTTATTATTTGATAAAAAGGAAATTCATATAAATAATCAAAAGACATTCCTAGCTAAGATATTTCAGTTTGAAAGATATTTTAGTCCTCTTACATTTGATACCAAACTTGTTTTATTTAGATAAGCGGGTTGTTTTTTATTAGGAAAGGACTTTTATTTCGGCTAGAGCTGTTCATAGTAACGGATAATTTTAAAATACATTGACGAAGCTATTTATATAAAATTTTTCATTTTATTTAGTTCGTGAAGAATTAGCTAATTGTTAAATAGCGATTTTCAGTAACTTTTTCCTTCCTCTTTGATTCTCACAATATTTTAAACCGATAACACTGTACAGCACTCGGATGCGTATTGGACTAAACCAACTTTGTTTTAAGAGAACAGTAGATAAGTAAAAAAGTAATTTCTCCGTTTTTCGAAGTTAGTCCCCGAAATCGAGATATGGGCATTCGAAGTTCGAATTTGGACCTTTGGTAAAATATTATTTTTAATTATTGCATGTAAAAAGCAAAAAAAGTAAAAATACAGGCATGGTCCGCCTTTTGCTCTTATTTATATGGTGTATAACCTTTTTTGCGAAAACTTATATTACAGTTGCTATAACGGGTCTAAAGTCAGATCTTCGAAAAATTAAAATCCTAATAATAATAATAATAATAGATTGGCGCTTACACATATGTTAGTGTTTGGCCGAGCTTCTCCTCCGATTTGTGGCGTGCGCCTTGATGTTGTCACACAAAGCGGAGGGACCTACAGTTTTACGCCGACTCCGAACGGCGATTGTATTTTTATGAGAAGCTGCTTTTCATGGCAGAAATACAGTCGGAGGTTTGCCATTGCCTGCCGAGGGACGAGCGCTGTTAAGAAAAAACCTTTTTCTATATTTTTTGCGATGTTGCTTTGACCAGGGTTTGAACCCAGGCGTTGCGGAGTGGAAGCGCGCACTGCTTACCACTACACCACAGCGGCCGACTTAATATTTCAGACAAATTTAAACCATATCGTTGATGTGATATGAAAATTTTTATACTCGTATATAAAAATGTGTGTTGTTGATAACATTTCAATGTGTAGTGTAGAAATCTCATAAGCTGGAAGTACCTATTTTATTAAAATTAATATATTAATCCCGAAATACGTCAACGAATGGCTAACTTTACTGGGTACAAGTATTGTACTTCAAAACTATTAAAACATCAAATTTAGTCCAATCACTTCTAAATACCTGTAAATGTAAATAAAACTCAGTAATTTTAAGTATATATTCAACACTTAATACTGAGAGCTCTGAATCGGTCCTGAGTACAAGTATCGTAGTGATGATTGGTACAGAGTATTTCTGAGTACAGAGTACTTTCGAGTTCTTTTTTCGTCGAAGCCGAAGTGAAGAAGCTAAGGCATAGGGAGCATATTTAGAGCTAAAGGTTTGGGGGACTGGTTTTTTAAAATGGGAACAAGCCCCCAAAAAAAGAGTCATATGGTCGCCCTAGTGTAAGAAAGAGAATTTTCTACAAAGAAACTTTCACAGCTATAGTCATTGAAATTTCAAATCAATTAAACAAATCAAGAAACAACTTTTCTAATTAAGTTTTATTCGGCGTAATAACGAAGTAGTCAAAACTAAATTATAACTTTTTGCACTTGTAATTTACAGAATAAAATGTAGCAAAACTAGATACAGTGCAAGAATACTAATTATTTTCATGCAATTTTCATAAATGCAGTCACTTGCAGGGCAAAGTTTAATGTTTGCGCGCCGCTTTTGGCTTCTTTCCCTTTCGATGATGCCATTTCTAACGGAAAAGTTAATTATGTGGACGAAAATGTGCTGCAATATCTATGTAAAACTGGTGCGTATGTTGTTGTTATCTCCGCTTTTCCACTGCGCTGCAAATCATAATCAGGCAAGTTGACATGGTGTGCATTTACATAAATGTGCATATGTATTTCAGTATGCCTGGCATATGATGTTAATGGCTGGGTTAGCCGGCAACAAATTAACATCTCCATGAAGGATAAAAGACGAATGTTGAACAAATTAGGAGGTTAGACGTACAAGTGAATAGTGATTACCCCTGTTTCTCTGATGAAGGGTACATGTGTGTAGTGAGAATAACTTTGAAAAAATATCATGTAGCTTAAACCATTATGATACATATGTAAAATGCGGTAACAGTGAACGAAAAATATTATGTAAGTGCTGAATAAAAAATATTTATTACGTAGGTTTTCACCAATGTCATATTCAGTAAATATCGAGAGTTCAGCAAAAGCGCCAGTTGATCAATGGCTTTCTCCAGTTTATATTAATGTATAATCGTCTTTTGAACGCCATTTATTTGAATCCAAATATTGAAAGTGAGCTTAGCTCATTTGCATACGAGTGCATAGTGTGCAGTGCACACATATGAAAGATATCAACAAAATGTCAGATGATGAGAATTTGGTGGAAAAGTGTACCATTGCTTAAAAAACAAATGTCCTTACGCATAAAGAAATGCATCGAGGCAACTCACTTACACAATTCGCTAAAAACTGCACGTTACTGTTGGTTGGTAAACTTTAAGTGGTGAAAAATTTTTTACGGACATTTAAGATCCAGTATTAAGCCGATCAATAATGTCACCTGGAGTCCAAGAAAAAAAAATTATTTCCAATGGTTGTTTATTTGGCCTCGGTTTGAGAAGCAAAGTCCTCTCAAAAAGAGCAAGAGTCCTTTCAGATGGCGCACAGTGGGGGCAAAAAAGGTTGCTGTGGACAAATTAATTTTGAGGGCCCAAATATGAACTGATTTCAAGTTTCTTTTTTTCATAAAATAAAAGAAAATTAAATTTCGCGACAATCTATCCGCGGCGATTTTTTAGAAAACATCTGTTTTTTTATTTATTTACTTTTTTGGAAAATATTTGAAACTAATTTCAAATGATTGCAATTATTTATAAAATTATTCATAAACATTTTTCTTAAGATACATTTTATTAATAAATGTATTTCATTTGTTATTTATACTAATATATATTTTGAAATCCGTTTTTTTTCGATTTCTTCTTTTCAAAAAACTCGAGAACAGCTGTACCGATATTTTTGAAATCCAAGGATGATAAAAATAACTCCCATTTCATCTATTAAAAAAAAACACTTCGGGGCAATGTTTATGTTAAGAATAAATTTTTTTTCTATGAATCGACATATTTTAAGCATGTGCGTACCAGGGTGGGAAATTAAGTCAATTGACCTTATTTCCGTTGATCTTGCTACCTGTCACCGGTTATCCAACCTGGTTTTATACCTATCACTGAACTTTTTTATTTCATCTTTGACGGTGCATATTTTTATATCTCTTTGAATAGTATGGTTTGACACATACCATGGAGCCTTTGTTATTTACCTTAGAGTTTTTGATCGAACCCGCTGTATTATTTCAATATTTGAATTGCTTGCTGTTCCCCATATTTGTATCGTAAAAGTCCAAATGGGTTTGATAATGCTTTTATATATTAGCAATTTATTTTCAAGAGAAAGTACAGATTTTTGATCCAGAAGCCAATGAAGGCTTCTCAGTTTTATATTAATTTGCTCCCTTTTTCGATTCTACATGGTATTTCCAGGTGAGCCTTCTGCCCATGTGTAACCCCAGGTATTTCACATGATCGCTTACAGGTATATCTGCATTAAAGGGCAAAAGTGACATGGACAGATTTATCTGAATTGAATTTAATATTCCACATCTTGAGCCAGTCCTCTAGTTGGAATAAGTAATTTTGTAGTATGTCAGAAGATTCAGACGGCAATTTATTTGAAGTTAAGACTGCAGGACATTATAGGCGCCATACACCGTGCGTCTGACTCGTGAGTCGGTTTGGATGTGTTTGTGAAAATAAATATGTATAGTTATACCGACATGACTCTGAATGATTCAACTGGGTGTAGTCGAAGGGGAGCTAACACGTATACAAATGACTCGCTGACTCGCGCACTGTGTATGTCGCCTATTACTTTATTATGACATTGTGCAGGAGTTCCGTGGAAACAATATTTTCCTACGTTGCAAATGTTCCTAAAATAATGTGATTGTACCGAATGTACGTTCAAATTTAAGAAGCTAAAGAATAGGTACAATTCAACCTATTTTTACATCACTATTTCGCACCACTTGTACGCTCATTCTTCTTCTAAATTGTTATTTACGCTCTCATTCTCATTCAATGTGACGTCACACCCAGTTGCTCTCAGCTCGATTGGCGCAATCTTGTATTCTATCATTCTTGAGTATGGCATTAAAAATAATTGTAAGGGTTCGCATGGATTACTCCGTTAGGTGCTTTAGTACAGCGTGGTCTATCTGATCGTATCCTGGGCTCTTTTTACTGCCACATTTTGCCAATTCCTCTTTCACCTCGGATAACATAATGCGCCTTATTGGAAATCCATTTGGCATGGAGTATACTTTATAAGAGTTTAGTTAGAACTCTCAGGGGCTACTCAGTAGTGCGATTCCCATATTCGTTATTGATAATGAACGACGTTTGTAGCTTGCAGTAGCGAATAGGCTATCCTCAAAAACACACTTAACGACAGAATTCGTTAGGCATGTCGGTAAAGAAGTTTACGACGATTTTCGTTAATTGCAAAGATAAATATGGCAATATTGACGTTTGACATTTAATATTTGAAAGAAAATTTGATTATTGTTACGCGTATTATTATTGTCGGGACTGTTGTGTGTGAATATATTATGGAAAAAAAAAACAGAAGCGCTAGAGCTACTACGGAGCAGTACCACAAAATGCTGGACTTTTTCCTTGGCAATAAGGGCCTCGCGGAAGGCAAGTTCTCCGCGATTCATGGCCGGCAAGAAGCTTCCCGGAAATGGGAAGAGCTAGCGATGTTGCTAAATAGCTCAAATGGTGCCGAAAAATCTGCAGCTCAGTGGCAAGTAGTAAGTTATAGTAGATCACATAGTAGATGATATCTGCAAAACACAATAATTGCAATTTTTGTATTAGGTTTGGCGCGATTTGAAAAGCCGGACTTCCGTCAAGGCAAGAGAGCGCAGGAAGCAAATGGCGGCAACAGGAAATGCTCCAATGTTAACAGCTCCGCTTTCTGATTTAGATCAGAAAGTTTTGAGCTTACTTGGTACAGAATATGTGGAAGGGAGTAGCCAATGTGTGGAAAGTATTCCGGAGGAAGATGTTAGTACAAATATAGATGTATATATGTACATAGATAGTATGTGTGTATATTTGTATATTGTATTTGCCTACAAATATACAATTGTACGTATTAAAAAAAACCATTCAATTTCGTATACATACATACGTATTTATGTACATATCGCTCATTTACTTCAATAGTGTCATAATAAAAAAGAAACAAAGGTCGTCTTAAGTATGCAGAAATAATCGCTACCTTTTCTTCTATGTTGTGTAAAAATTTCACGGCTATATCGATTACCGGTAGAACAAAATATGCATTGATTTTTACTATGGGAGTACATATGTATATGTAAATTCCATACTTTAAAGCTGTTTTTCTCGAGTTTTTTATTTATTTATTTTTTTTTTGATTGACACTTCCAGCAAATGTGCGATATGTTCATACATACATACATATATGTATATAATTATAGAGTCTGCAAATTTCTCTTGAGAACGGAGACGCATCCGTGCTGGTTGATTACCCTGTGGTTTCAATAGCAGAAGCAGCTCCTATTCCCGTCGAGGCTACTCAATCGACAGGAACCAAAAATGCTTCGACGTCCAGGCGAACTTCGACTTTGAAGCGAAAGTCCGTAATGGAAAGTACACGGGAGATTTTCGCTAAAGTAGCAAAGCAGCAGGCAGATGCTATGATGGTAAGTATAAGTTGCCTTATCTTAATTTTTGCCTTATATTTCGTCTTTTTACTTTAGATGCAGACTGAAGCCGCCAAAGTGCAAGCTGAGTCAGCAAAACAGCACGTTGAAGCCATGCTTCTACAAGCCCAGGCCTATGTGCGCGTAGCAAACGCCTTGGAAGATTTAACAAGTTCTGTTAAGCTGCTGGTTAATAATACTGTTCTCGAATTTTGAACTTTTTTTGAGCCAAGGTTTTAATAGTTACTTCATTGAGACATTCTAAATTCAATGGATTCTCCCGTTCTATCAGATTGGCTCCAGCTTTCGAGATAACGGCACTTGAAAATTTGCTTAAATTTCAACTTTTTTTATAAATAACTCCCTGAGTTTTAAAGTTATTTTACTAAAACTTTGCTCATGACTGTTTTTTAATATTAAATTCACTATAAAAAATAGTCACGTGCAAAATTTTTTTAAAATAACACAAACACTAAGTGTTAATTAGAAACAATTGAAGCAAATTTTCAAGTACAGTTATCTCGAAAACTGGAGCCAATCTGATAGAACGGGAGAATCCATTGAATTTAGAATGCCGCAATTAAGCAAGATCAACTATCAAAACCTTTGCCTAAGTGGTGTAATAAATAAAATGTAATAATAAAAAGCACACATGTATGTTTGTATGTATGTGATAAATATTTATTAGTTGATTTTTTTTAAGTAAATTTAGCAGCTATAAGGCGCTCTTGCATTCTCTTGGCGAGAGCTGATGGGTGAATGGATTCTTCCCAATCTTCTTCCAAAACTGCTTCCACAATTCGATCTTCACTTTGTATATCGCTGTTGTTTTCAACTGTGTTGAGTCGCATATTATGCAGAGCTGCGCCGGAGTTTACAATCCTGCCAGCGAAGCCTGGCTCGTACATAAGTACTCGCTGCTTCGAAAGGCATCGCCATGTTCCCTTCAAAACTCCAAATAGTCGTTCGACACAGTTCCTTGCTTTACATAAAGCCTCATTGTATCGAAATTGCGGTGTACCTTCTCTCTGGTTTGATAGAGGTGTCATCAGCCATGGCTCTAATGGGTAACCCGAGTCTCCTGTAAGATATTATAAATCAAAATAAATTTCGTAAATTTTCTAAAGAACAATACCTATTAAAAATGTGCTATGGTCTCCCCGATCATACGCTCGCTTCATTGCTCTCCGAACAGCGGATGCATTCCATATATATGCATCATGACGTGCACCGGGAAATCTCGCATTTACACTCAAAATTTTGAGGTTCGGATCACACACCTGTAAAAAAAACAACCACTGTCTTAAAAAGCTGGGATCCAATAAGCGAAAAAACGAGCATACAGAAATACAAATATTTATTTACATACGTATGTATGTATTTCTTACCATTTGAACGTTTATCGAGTGATAGCCGTGATGGTTAATGTATGCCTCCTCATGATCTTTTGGCCCGATAACTGCTATGTGCGTGCAATCAATTGCACCAATAGCGCCATCAAAAGGCTCACGCGCTGCTGAAAAAATACTTCGGGCAACCTGTCGTTCAACTACCGTCATCGGGTAACGTACGTTTTCCATAAACATAGTTTCATTTATGGCATCAGTTACCCTATGAATTGAACGACTAATGGAAGACTGACTCATTGAGAGTCCCCATTGCTCTCCCACTGGCCGTTGGTAGCAGCCGGTCGCATAAAAACGAAGCGCTGCAAGCACCTGAAAATCGACGAATTCCCTTTTTAAATTGATGGCCTTTGTTTGATGATCAAGAAGTTTGAGATCTCTTACCTGTTTTTCAGCCGATAATGCTGATACATATTTTCTTTCAAGACGACTGCCAATTTTGTCTATGATTTCATAAACAAGATTGGGGGTCAGCCGGTATAACCTTTTAAATTGGCCCTCGTCCAAATCAAAGGGGCTGTCCACTTCTCTTAGTAGAGCGCGTTCTGCTGCAAAACTCCTTGCTCCTTGTCGTTGTTGGGCCATTTCCGCATCGTATCCAAGAAACTGGAACGCCATTGTCGTTTTCTAAAAAGTTGTATTTTTTATAAACGAATTTATAAGTTTTTATTATAATAGTTTGCTTACCGATGAATTTTGCCTAATTTTTCTCAATAAAAACTTAAACCAATTTTATCGTTAGGCTTTTCAACGGCAAAATATTCGTAGCTAGGCTATCAACAAATTTCGTTAGGCAACTGTCAAACCTACCGACAATATTCGCTAAAAGTGTGTTTGGGAATAGCACTTAACGAAACTTGTCGGAATCGTTAGCTAACGATACGTAATTTGTCGTTAAGAAAAATGGGAATCGCACTACAGAACTCTCAACAGATCTCTGAAAAACAAATGAAGTAAAAAACGTTGACAGAATTAGGTAACATTTCTCAAATAAAAAAAAATTGGATTTTATTGCAGAACTATTTAAAAAACCCTTTCAGAACTTTAGAACTCTTTATATGGCATCAGAACTCTTTTTCCTGGAAAAAAGGGGGCCGCATGAAGTTGACCCTCAAATAGTTTTTTTCGATTTCTGCACGAAATTCCCTGGAACTATTACAATTTCCAATTTCAGAAACTCTAGAACTCTTCAAAAACTAGCCAGAACTATAAAAAATTTCACATTTTTCAAAATTTCGGGGCCAACTTCATGGGAGTTCCTACAGGAAAGCGCGTAAATTCAATCTAAAACCCTAGCTGAAGCTTCAAGACTTACAAACTTGCAAATGCGTACTTTCAGAAATCTTTGGGCTGGCTTAATTACCGATAAGCCAAAAAACCGCACTGGGGCATATCAACTTGCATTTTAAGCCCTGACAGCCAGCCAGCTAGTAAACCGGACAGCTTGTCCAACTGTCATTACTGCGGTCATCCAACCTTCGATACATTCATTCGCCAATTCCTGCAACAGTCACGTGCGTACAAACTACAAATGACACATTTTGTGCTGATGGACCTCTTACTGCTGTCACGAAGAATGATTGTGGACATGGGACAGGTCAAACGGTGGTAACCTATGTACATATGTGTATATTTAAGTACAAACACACACTTATTTACTTACTCGTAAATGCACTACATAAGTATGTATGTCTTCACACAAATATATGCCCAGAATTCGTGGTTTTCTTTTGTCACAGCAATAGGAGTATGCGTTCATGTTGAACTGAGTACTTTTGGTGTATGTTTGGGTCGGTTAGCAACTAAATTGCTCGATACTTATGTACACGGCAAAGCCATTTCGTAGTAAAAGCATTGGATATCTGTAATTGATTTTCTGGTGATTGCCTAAAAGGGTCAGGTAAAAATATAGTGTGGGTGAAATAAAGTTGCTTTAAATATTTGAAATCGAATTCAATAAAGTAGCTTATGATTAAAGCATTTTTACCTCACAAAATGTAAGAGCTATTTTAAATAAACGACATTCGAGCAACTATCGTGCATTTGATATAATTTCTGAATATCTAAACAAGTAGATCCATAAATAAGATTTTTCAAAATATATTAACGCCCGCGTCGATGAAGAAAGTCCAAACAATCCTGTAAACTGCGGCGGGTAGAGTGGCCACTAGATATGTACCTACATATGTACTGAGTCGATACTTTTATGTATTGATCAGTACTCGGTACCGATTTCAAAAATATCCAATACTTTCGAGACTCGGTACCGATATCTGGAAATTTCTAATTTGAAGCTAGAACAACCAAAAATAGGGGAGAAAACCAGTTCAAGGAAACCTCGCCTATGAAAAGTCGAATGTAGAGGCTAATAGAGCCTATACCCGTGAGTAAAATAGTAAATCGTCGATGTTTTTGCAAAACCGTCTAAATCGCCGTTGTGGCTAAAATGAGATTTGGTAACCCTGAACTTCGGGCATCGAGATTTATGCATAAAAATCGTAAAATCGTTATTAAAACAAGTAAAAGCAGCGCTGTCTTCGGCAATGCCGAGGGCTTTATACCTTTCACATCTGAAAATTTTACTTTAACAGATTACTGCATTTGAAAAAAATTTATATATTCACAGCATCCGTAGATTGAGCATTTACATATATAAAAAATTTAATTTAAATTTATTTAAACAATCAGAGGTATGGAAGATATACATTATATAGCACCAATCTAAGTGATTTTCACTTCCGTGTGGTCGGTATGTAAACCGGTAACACAATTTAATGGGTTTAGTTTCCTACATAAAGGAGATATATCGCAAAGACTGGTATCAGTGGTATAAGAGACAAAGCCAATACAGCATAGATTTTGACGATTTTCTCAGTATACTTTGTATTACTATTTATAAAATGGCTTACGAAGTTTATCGGTTTTAGCTGCCTAAATAAAGGAGTTTTACGGTGAAACCCCATATCTGAACAATCAGTTATATGGAGGCAATAAATAGGTTATAGTGACCCGATCTTTGTTAATTTTACTGTAAACTTTCTGTTAATTATGAATGAAAATAGTGCGCAATTTCGTGTTTCTAGCTGCATATTTGGAGAAGTTATGGCTAAAATCTCATATCTGAACAATCAGTTGTATGGGGACTATAGGTTATAGCGACCCGATCTTCACCATTTTCAGTTCAAGTTTTTTTTAGATAATAAGTGGAAACACTGCAAAATTTCATGTTCCCAGCTGGGTAGATAGAGGAGTTATAACAAAAAATCGCATATCTGAACAATCAGTTGTATGGGAGCTATATGTTATAGTGGTCCGATTCTTCCGGTTCCGACAAATGATTAATTCACTATAAAAATACACCCTACTACCAAATTTCATTCGGATATCTCGAAAACTGAGAGACTAGATTGCATACAAACAGACGGACAGACAGACAGAAAGACGGACATGGCTAAATCGACTCAGCTCGACGTTCTGATACATTTTACATTTTAATGGGTCTATCTCTTCTTATTCTGGTACTTACATACATCGGATCAAAGTTATAATACCATTTAATGTTCATGAAAGGTATCATAACAGATTTATAAAATAATAGCTAGGGAAAGTGCCGCCTATCAAGGCAATGCCTTAAAATAAAAACCGTTTTTTTGTCTGTTGTAAAATTTGAGAGCCGTAAGATAGGCGGTTTTACAATTGGTCGATGGGCGGTTTTGCACAAACGTCGACGAAATATTTCTTTATACGTTGTCCGCATAGGTTTTATGACAGTTATCAATAAAAACCGGAAGGGGGATTTCTCTCAAATTTCTTACATGAGTTCCCTTTAATTGTTTATCAGGAACAATGGTTATAAATAAATATATTTTTTAATTATTTTGTTTTTTGAAAACAATTTGCAAAAACTTACTTGGTTTCTCTAGCGCCATTATTTTCATGCTATATTCTCTGAATTCCGTACTAAGGACGAAATGAAAAGAATGTGTTCAGATTATATTTCAAAAGTGATCTGTAGAAAATACATTCCGAACATTCCGATGTGAACTCCTTTAAATCATAAAAACCAACAACCTTTTTTAAAACCTATTTTGAGTACCAGTAATGAAAATAATTATGAGTTTTCAAAATTCGGGTATGCCATATTATTGCGCGCTCAACTGCTTTTTGAGTAGGCGACATTCGGCCGCGCTTCAAAGTACCAGCTCTAGCCGTACCGAAATCTCGGCTACGCTATTACCCACAGTGTTATGTGCGTATCGAAGTTAAGTTTAGTGGTTCTTTGTTCCATATTGAATAAGCTTGTTTGTTTTTGCGATTTTGTTACATACATATGTATGTACGTGTGACACTGAATTATTTGAATTGATACAAATTATTACTAATAAAATGAAATAAATAATTATATGATATTTCCGGATTTATTGGATATTGGAAAATATATATGCGTATGTATTTATGTAAGTATTAATTTTGCGAGTTCATAAAATGGCGGGTGCACATTTGCTCGCTCCCCCACGCAGCGTTCGCGACACCCGTGTCCCGCTGCACTGCACTCGCGCCAATATGGCCTTAAGCGAAGCGCACATTAGCGCGATTCCATCGTTGCGAATACGTTGCGAATTCGGCTGTTAACTTCGAATCCGCAAACGTGCGCACACTTGAGCGATTTTTTCGCGTCGACTTCCGATGTACAATTCACTCAATTTTCCCTTTATTTCGTGTATTTTCGCACTCGGCGTGCCCAAATCGTACAAAATACTATTATTACGAACGTTTTTATTAGTTTTTGTACATTACACGTTTTTTTTTCTTTGCCTTTATTGCTGTGACACCTTTCTTCTTCTTCTTTGACGCCTTTAAAACGCTGCAAGCCGCGTTTCGAACGCGTCAATAAAGAGGAACATTGAATGTTCGAAAAATTCGCAGCGACGGAATCGTGCAAGTGTGCGCTAGCGCATTAAAATGTATGGGTAGCATTGTTGTAATTTTTGGGCTTGCGGATTCGCAACGACAGAATCGCGCCAATGTGCGCTTCGCTTTATTTCGTATGGTGTTATTGCAACCCACCTCGATATGTAGGAGAATTTTTACCTATCACTTGATCGTAAGTTTTATAAACACTGAACCTTTCGTAGAGTTCAGCTGTTAACAGCACGGTAATACACAGAAAACAGTGCGCGAAAGTTTAAGCCCTGAATAACTATATACGAAATAAAAACCTACCTTATTTCTTTGGTTTTTGTCTAAAGCAAGTAATTGGTTATAATATTTCTTAAAAAACAAATTCCTCAAATTTTTCGTCCCGCTACTATTATTTCTCTTTTTAAAAAAGGCGATCCAGACGTTCCGTCCAACTAGGGGTCTCTCTTTGCTCGACACTATATATATACAATTTTTGCTAGTCTGTTGCTGAGCCGTCTGAATTTGTGGCTTGACGGTAACAATATAATAACCGAATTTCAAGCGGTCTTTCGCTAAAATTAGTTAACAATGGCCAATCTTTTTAATTTAACTTTTATTATACATTAATTTAACTATTATTATATTATATTATAATTTTAATGCAAAAAAGAAAACTTATACTTTCTTTGTTGACTTTTCATGTGCTTTTGACGCTGTTCCACGCGGTATTCTTGTCTACAAGCTAGCCTGTCTTGGTCTCTCCGGCCACATTGTAGAGGTTATACGAATAAAATATATAATAATACAACCAGTCAGGTGTGGTTAGATGGGGAGCTTTCCGACCCGATTTCTGTTAATCAAGGTGTATGTACGTAAAGGTTGTTTGCTGAGTCCAACCCTTTTTTCATTAATCTCCCCTGCGGAGTGAAAGTTGCTATAGTAAAAGCGCTGATGTACGCCGGCGGTATTGTGCTCTTAGCAGATTCTGCATTAGA